CTCTCTCTCTCTCTCTCTCTCTCTCTCTCTCTCTGTCTCTCCCCTACTTGTGCTCTGTCTCTCTCTCAAAAATAAATAAACATTAAAAAATAATTTAAAAAAAACAATACTATATCGTACTTGAAAGTTGCTGGGAGAGTAGATCTTAAGTGTTCTCACCACCACACCAAAAAATGGTAATTACTTTTGAGGCAATGATTAACCCCACTTGGTGACCACTTCACAATATACACATGTGTCGAATTAACACCCTGTACCCTTTAAACTTGACCCAGGCTCTGTGTCCATTATATCGCAATAAAACTGACTAAAAAAAAATTACAAAATCTGTTTCAAGGAAAGAGGATGAGAGTGTTAGAACGTGGTTAGAAAAAAAATTGTCATCAAATGCTAATTTATAAACTAGTTGGAAAACAGCCAATAAAGCATGCCAGTCTAAGACTACTCTCAAAATGTGCCTCCAGGGAACTGTTGAAAATCTTCCCAGTGGTTCCCTGGGCTGAGTTTTTGTAGCTCAGATGCTTATAATAATACAGTAGCTACATATTTATTGTTGGTATGGGTTGAAAATCTAGTTGTGATATTTAGTAAAATAAAACCCAGGCATAATGTCAAGAAAACAAACAAACAAAACCCACTAACATTGTATACACTATTGTTTCCAATATGATCTGTTTAGAGGTCCCTTTTTTCCATGAGTGTTTCACGGGAAATGCTGATCTATGTAATTTCAAAGGTCAAACCTAGCTCTAAAATGCCTCTGGCCCCAAGATGGACTCAGAAATAACATCTGGGGCGCCTGGGTGGCTCAGTCAGTTAAGGGTCTTGATTTCGGCTCAGGTCTTAATCTCATGGTTCATTGAGATTGAGCCCCATGTCGGGCTCTGACCTGATAGCATGGAGCCTGCTTGAGATTCTCTCTCCCTCTCTCTCTGGCCCTCCCCCATTTGCGGGCATGCTCACTCTCTCTCTCAACATAAATAAACAAACGTTTTTTAAAAAGAGAAAGAAATAACATTAAGTGATGAGGGACCATAAGGCAAGCCACCGATCAAGCACCAAGCACGAGCTAGCACAACCTCCCCACCCTCCAGGTGGGATATGTGTGACATTCCTGAGGCACCCCGGCTGCCCAAGGACAAAGGAAAGGACAGGAAACAAATGGTTAAACTGATAGCATCTCCATCAGTTTACAAATATCTCATGAATCGCCTAATCCCCAAGAACTCCCTACTATCTTAATGATAATGCTTTCCTAGAGGGAAAAACAACCTTAGCTGGACAATACCTAGGGCTCCAGTAATCTGTAAATCCTCTTTGGCATATGGAAATCCCTTTAAGAAACTTCCTCTGGACTTCACCTCCCCCACCTCCACAGGATACGGGCAGCCACTCTGCCCAGCCCCAGCGCAGCTCTTCCTGCCCACGGGTTCTGTCCCTGTGCTTTCATAAAATCACCTTTTTGCACCAAAGACGCCTTCAAGAATTCTTTCTTGGCCGTCAGCTCCAAACCCCACCATCACCCAAAAAGTTCATCATTAAATCCCACAGGCTACTTGGCTGTTCACTTCAGAGGCTTCAGAGCCTTCTGGCCTCAGCACATGGGCCCTCCCAGTAAGCCCACTGCAAACCCACATTCTTCCCAAGCTGTCAGCCTCAAAAAACCTTTCTCCAAGAGCAGACACCAAGCCGAGCCAATTCTCAAGCATGTGAAAGGGACGAGTGACCCTTCCACCTGCAGGCAGGCCTGCTACTGACCCAAGGCTTCCCCAGAGCCCGGGCTGACACCACCCAGGATGCTCAGCTTGCTGGAGCCAAAGGAAACCCTCCTAGTTTCATCCGGAAAATCTCGCTGAACACCTGACACAGATCTGTCTCCTATTCCCGCTGCTTTCAAACCAGCTTCCTTTCCTGTGGCCGTGTGGCAGGGAGAAAACACGCTGTGCTGTAAAGGGCAAGGGCATGTTAATTCTAGATGACATGGTTTTGATACCTATGTCGACAAGGATGTCCAAATGAAGCCCACTGCCCTTGCCCCACACTGCCGCCTCCTCCCGTGTCTCCCCACCTGTCACCCACACCGGGAACCAGGGCACTATTCCAGGCTCCTCCCTCCCCCACCATGTCCTGCCCCCGCCCCCTCCCTCCCCAAGTCTAATCAGTGCCACTGCCTAAGTGCTTCTTAAAGCTGCCCTCTCCTCGCCATTCCCAGACCCACCTGCCCCCCACGGGTCTGCTTTCTGCACTGCAATCACCATCTTTCTCAAGTGCGATCTGACGGCACCAGCCACCCTGGGCTCACCACCATCTCTCTCTAGTGTGGTCTTCACACTTTAGTCCCAGAAGCTTTTGCTCTGAGCGAAACTTTATTTAAGGGAGGCCACATGTAAAATAAAGGAAGTTGTCAGTGGCTGCGTCTGAAGCGGGGTTCAGTGCCCCCATCACCCCTCCTGGGAGTTCCTTGGGGAGCAGCAGGGACACCCCTGCTTTATAGCACATCAAAGCACATAGCAGGAGGCGAGTGGGGCTTTCATCCTTGCCCAGGAATTACTAATGAAGGTCCCAAACAGAGACAAATACTAGGTGCCTACATTCTATAGAGGGCCACAGATCCCGGGGCAGAACTCACCCCTGCAGGCACTGCTAGCTACCACCACCAGCCACCCCTTTTCCCAATCTATGCTAAGACTGGGGCCAAGGGCAAGTCACAGGTGTATACACATGTCAACGCTGACCCAAATGTACATTTAAATATGTGCAGTTCATCCTATGTCCGTTATACTTTACTAAAGCTTTTTTTTACAAAAAGGACAGGGGGTGAGTTATCAGCAGTGTGATGTTTGCAGAGAAATGCTTATTTCACACACTAAAAGGCCAATAACGGGGGGCTCCTCTCGGAGCAAGGAGTGTCTGGCAGGATGGGGAGGCTGGCTATACACCTGGTGAGCTGGAAATCAAACCATGGTTACGTCAGACGAAGGAGGGCAGGTAGACATGAATAGCCTGGATATGGGAACACGTACAACCTCAGACAGGAGTCTCTGCCTTTGTGCCCACGCTGGCTGGGGCAGCTGAGTCAAGATAAGGAGCAGCTGCAGCAAGGTCGGCCTGGGTCTCTTTCCTTACCATCACTCCCTTGTGGCTCCTTCAGGGATTCAGGTGAAGGAGTGTGGACATGGTCAGGGGTCACGGACTGCCAGAGGAAAACAAGGAATTGGGGGTGCTTCCGGCAGGAGGTCTCAGCGGGGTTTCTCTGAAAGATCCTTAGTAATAAATGGGCCCCCTGAACCAGGTGCCAGGAAAACCAGCAGCTAAGGCCACCGGCAACAGACAGAACAAGGCTGGGCCAGAGTGAGGAGGCATTTCCCCACCACTGAGGGCAGCCAGTCCGACAAGACGGGTCCCACTCTGGACCCCCAGCACCACAGTCACAGGCCCAGGAGCTGGGAAGAGAACAGAGGTCCCTATAGCTAACTCACCCCCCTTGTGACTCCCACCCCCACAAACCGAAGACTGTCTTCCAGCTCTGTGGGATGGAAGAACTGAGATTTGATCCAGATCTGAGAATGGAATGGTACACGAGCCTAGCTTGCACTGGACTGAATCTTTTTACTCTCCTTCAAAAAAATTATTTCACGAGCACCTGGGTGGCTCAGTCAGTTGAGCAGCTGACTTCAGCTCAGGTCATGATCTCACAGCTCAAAGGCTTGTGAGTTCGAGACCCACGTCGGCTCTGTGCTGACAGCTCAGAGCCTGGAGCCTGCTTCCGATTCTGTGTGTCCCTCTCTGTCTCTGCCCTCCTCAACGGCTGCTCACGTTCTGTCTCTCTCTGTCTCAAAAAATAAAATAAAACATTAAAAAAAATTTTTTTTTAATTATTTCAGGGGTCCTTAGGTGGCTCAGTCGGTTGAGTGTGTG